AAGAGCACATAGTCCAAATGCTCAAAGCCATTGAATTGATGGTGTTAATGTTATTGGTTATACACCGTGGGCTGCAATAGATATTATTAGCGCTTCTACGGGTGAAATTGAAAAGCGCTATGGTTTATCTATATTGACTTAGAGCAAGTGAAAAAAAGGCGCAGCAGGCTTTTATCGCAAAAAATCTTTTAAATGGTATCAACATATTATTTCGACCAACGGTGACTGTTTAGCCGATTAAGTGGGGTAAATAAAGATGAGTAATTATATTAATCAAAAAATCGTCCCAAGTGTTATCAAATTTAGCAATACCAAAATTATCAAGGCATTAAAAGACGGGATGATGTTTGTCCTACCGTTTTTAATTGTTGGTTCCCTTTTTATGTTACTGGCAAACATTCCAATTCCTGCAGTTGCAAATGCGATTACTGCAAGTGGTTGGGCTGCGATCTTTAATCAGATTTATCAATCGTCGTTTTCCTTAATGGCAATTTTTGCGACCGTTGGAATCGCGTATACCTATATCAAAAATGAGCAGATCGATTCTCCTTTTTCCGGCAGTTTGGCTGCATTGAGTGCATTTATTATGGTACTGCCACCTGATATTAAGCCTAAAGCTGGTCAGATTATTCCAAATGTGATTTCTAAGACCTGGACTGCTGGTCAAGGGATGATTTGCGCAATTATTATTGGGCTCTTAGCAGGTTATATTTATAGTTTTTGTGTCAAAAAAAATTGGCGAATTAAATTACCGGCAGGAGTACCGCCTGCCGTTGCAAGTTCCTTTATGGCATTAATTCCGACCGTTGCAGTTTTGATCGTGGCAGGTGCGATTTGTGCCTGTTTCACTTTTTTGGCAAAAACAAGTTTTGCAGAATTAATTTACTCGGCAATTCAAGTTCCATTGCAGGGAGTAACGGATTCTCTTGGCGGAGTCGTCATTATGACAATTGTAATGTCTCTTCTTTGGTGGTGCGGAGTGCACGGCGGTGCCATTTGTGGTGCAATCCTGACGCCTATTCTTCAGTCAAATATGTCTGCAAATCAGGCAATTTTAGCGACAGGAAAGAAATTAACCATTGCTAATGGTGGCCATATTTTTTACGCAGCAATTTTGGGATAATTATCTTTGTATGACTGGTGCTGGAATTGTGATGGGACTTGTCATTTATATGACTTTTTTTGCTAAATCGTCTACTTTAAAGGAACTTGGCAAATTATCGCTTTTCCCTAATATTTTTAATATTAACGAACCGGTTATTTTTGGGGTACCGATTGTAATGAATTTGTACCTGCTAGTGCCATTTGTTCTTTTTCCGACTTTAGTTGGGATTTTTAGTTACTGGTTAATGGCAATTGGTGTTTTACCATT